ATTGTAGTTGCCATGAGACGTGGTAGTAACACTAAAACGAGCAGCCTTTATTTTGATGGAAGTTCACTTTTGTGGTGGAGAAATGGTCGGACACATTTTCATAACATGATCGCGGTGTCGAAAAGACGTCAAGGAGCCCATCCCCCTTTGCCGTTGTTACCTTGACTTTTTCCAGGCTCGCACATGCCACAACTAACATTATCGTACATCTCGCCGGATTCGAAGTCGGCAACGCTCAGGCATAACGTCACTAAGAGCAGCACACTTCTTGACAGATATTCTGCCAAATGTTTGTGCAATATCTTTTCTTATGCTGCCCCAGTATATATCGTCTGTCGGTCCTTTTTTGGCATACGTTGCTATGGAGTTGCGCCATTTTGAGCAGGTTTAGTGGGGTCTAATGGTCCAACGACTTTGTGGAAATTTGGTCGCAGGATAGAATTTATTGAATGGTTGTAGTTCTGTGACGAGTACTGCTTTGCTAACTGATTCTATCGAGTATATGTCGGGAAATGAAGCAAGTCAGCGACGAAATGCTGTAAGAAATGAGAAAAATCATGGCAGGAGATACCATTCGGGCTGTGGGGTTTAATCGTCCAACGACTTTGGAAATTGGGTCAGAGGATAGACTTTACTGAATGGTTGTAGTTCTGTGCCAAGTACGGTTTTGCTAACTGATTCTATCGAGTATATGTCGGGAAATGAAGCAAGTCAGCGACGAAATTATGGGAAAAATGAGAAAAACCATGGCAGGAGATACCATTCGGGCTGTGGGGTTTAATCGTCCAACGACTTTGGAAATTGGGTCAAAGGATAGACTTTACTGAATGGTTGTAGTTCTGTGCCAAGTACGGTTTTGCTAACTGATTCTATCGAGTTTATGTCCAGAAATGAAGCAAGTCAGCGAAGAAATGCTGGAAGAAATGAGAATTACCATGGCAGGAGATACCATACTGGCTGCACTCTTCAAAGTCACCCAAAGACCACGGCCAATTTGCGCCAATGAGTTAGAAAAATTGTCAGAAAACTCTAAAACTCTCTCTCAACCTAAACTGAGTGCAGCAAACATTCTTCAGAGGCCATTTTATTATGCAACAAACAGTGCCGAAATATGCGTAATTATTTGTTGCCATGGCATAGTCCCCGATACTCACGCGATGTCAACAGTATAGCCCCATAATTTTGGATGAATCGCAATTCCCATATTTTTTTTAACAATTACTTTCTTTTTTATGCCCGGAGAAACTTGTAATAAATCCGGAGATTAGATAACGAGCTTTACTCCCTCATTAGGTCATGTTTCAGTGCGCTACAACCCCGTTAGCTCAAGGCGTTTTGCCTTGGGTTAGCAGAAATGAACTCGGCCTATTCTGAAAAATATTGGATTTTCTGCGCTCACTTTCTATTGCTTGAGACTTTTGGAGTCGTTTGCTCAAGCGCTTGCGATAATGTCTCCGGCTTTACTCTCGACATGTAATCTCCAGAGCTCTTTCTATGCTCCTGGAGGAATGAAATAAAATCCTTGAAGAACATTG